TGACGCCCTGCCCCTGCTCCTTAGGTCCCCCTTTGTCTGTCACTCTGCCCACCCAGGAGCCATAGTTTGGCTGAGTTATCCTTCCCAGGGACATCTGGCACTGGCTCAGCCAATCCGAACCTATCCCTGCAGAACGGAGCCCCACAGAACGCAGCGGGGTCACATCCCAGCAAAGTGCTAAAGAAGAAATGACAAGCGGGGCAGATGCAGCTGGCAGATGTTTTCTTGGCTGGCAGTTTTTTAAAAAATTGCAAACTTCATTTAAAAAAACCCCAGATTTTCCTTTTCTCTCGGAAAACTGGACGACCTGGCCACACTGGGCTGGTGTTCCTCTAGGACGGATATCAGCTGGAGCAGAGTAGTGCCCTCTTCAGATGGGGCATCTGCGCTCCCGTTGTCCACACCATTTTATTACTGCCCCCCTCATTTATCCTACCTCCTAGTGCTCAGAAGAATTTCGGCTGGGGAACCAAAGATCTCAAAAAGTGGGAGGAGCAGCCCTGTATCTGCTCTGTTGCAGCCTGTTTGCTTAACTTATGGATGGAGTCCACGAAAGATCGTGTATCTGTTATGGGCTGATTTGTGCCTCCCAGCAGCCCCCCCCACCCCACCTCCCCCAGACCCTGCCCCACAGCATTCATATATTGAAGTCCTAACTCCCAGTACCCCAGAGGGTGACTGTATTTAGAGATAGGTCTTTAAGAGGTAATTAAAGTTGTATCAAGTAATTAGGGTGAGCCCTAATCCAATATAACTGTGTCCCTATAGGAAGAGTAAGAGATAGCAGGGATGAGCATGCACAGCAAGAAGGTGGTCAATCCTCCCGCTAAGCGGGGAGACCTCTGAAGAAATCAGCCTTACCAACGCCTTGACTTCAGATGTTTAGCCTCCAGACCTGTGAGACAGTTAATTTCTGCTATTCAAGCCACCAGTCAGCCTGCTTCTGTTACGGCAGCCGGAGCAGACCGATGCAGTCTCCCATCAGTGAAATCCCCCACCCCAGCCAAAAGTAACTCTTCCACGTACTTGCAAACCAAGGGTCTCTACTAATGAACGTGTTTTCCCCTACAGTGTGATCAGTCTCCTTCATTTTACCCAGGCCCCTTTCTTGAACTTTTAATTATATTTTACTACAAGCTCCATGTTTGAAGACTCATAAACTAAGGTGAATGAGTTAAAGTCTTGGCAAAAAAAAAAAAAAAAAAGGCAAGTCATAAATGGAGGCAAATATTCATCCTCTCTTCAGGGCTGGGTTGACACATCTGAATACTGTGGCTAGACAAACACTAATATCCATCCTCAGAAAATATGAACTCTCTGTCTGAAAGAGCTCAAGGCGGTATCTAGATCATGCCTTCCCAATGGGGACCCGATGACAGCCAAGAAAGAGAAAATTGAATCTCAGATGGAAAAACATCTTCCTCTTTCTATGTATAAATCACACATATACATATAGCACACAGACAGATCTACACTACTCGTTCTAAAATTTCATGGGAGGCTCATCAGAGAAAAATGCCTATGAAAGCTATTTGGAGAGGATGATGATAAAAAATGGTTGAGAAACACTGACTTATATGTTTGGTGTGGTGTTAATACTCCTTTCTTGGAAGGCACTGTGCTTTGGGGACTTTGTTTTCAGGTCCTTTGCATAGTGATACTAATGTGGACAATTTTGGGGATTCCCAAGTAGAAAAGGGATCTTTCTACTCGTGTAAGTCAAACAACAGACAAAACTATTTAGTCTTGCTGACTGAAGGGTAAGGCTAAAAAAGAAGGAGCTGGTGAGGGTATGGCAGACACAGGTGGATGCCTGCCTGACAGTATCCCCTCCACATTTGTTTTGGCAAAGTAGCCTCCCAACATGGAGGCTGAAAACTGGATAATTGTTTTCTCAGGCTCCTTTGCAACTGAGCATAAGCATGTGACCCAGGCCCTAGGGATGGAGTCTTCTAGAAAAGAGGCTCTTAACCAATAAAAAGAGTCTCAAGAGAAGAACAACCGTGTGTCTCCTTCGGTGGGTTGCTGTCATGTCCCATGTGTTGCCTGGCACTTCAGCAGCCATCTTGTGGCCATGAGGCCGTGAGGCTCAGGAATCAACGAGCTAAGGACAGTGAAGTGAAAGAAGCAAGAGCCAGAGTCACTGATGAAATGAATCAGAGAGGTAGAAAATGACAAGAGAAAAGAGTAATGAATAAAATGGACATTTCATAGCTAAAACTCACAAAGCTAAATTTGGGGAACAAGTGATCAAGTACAACAGACCAAGGGGAAAGTAGAAGAAAAAAGTCCTGGGTCTTAGTCTTGGTTCTAGTACTAGGCAGATGGGTAACTTTGGACAAATTGTTTAGCTTCTCTAAACTTTGGAGGGGAATGCTTACCCATCTTTCTTTAGAGGGTTTGTTGGTCTGTACTGTCGATTTGGCTAAGCTGGAACATTTCCTAGAATCCTCTTCCCTGTGTGTGTCTGGGTTGCTGTTGGCAAATTAATTAATTACTTAATTAATTTTTACAAAAGCATGAATTTGGAAGGGAGAAGTGAAGCAGCAACCATGATTCTTGGGTCATTATGCTTGATGCATTAAGAGACAGATGAAGCGGTACCAGTAGTTCTAGCTTGGCATCACTTCCTCCTACCCGACTTCCACCTCTTCTTCACCTTTTTCTTTTTTTTTTTTTAAGATTTTATCTATTAATTTGAGAGGAGGGTAGGAGGGAGAGAGAGAGAGCATGAGTGGGGGAAGGGCAGAGGGAGAGGGAGAAGCAGACTCTCTGCTGAGCAGAGAGCCCAATGCAGGGCTCGATCTCAGGACCCTAGGATGATGACCTGAGCCAGAGGCAGACGCTTAACCAACTGAGCCACCCAGGTGTCCCCCACCTCTTGTTCCTGACTGCCAGTCCTATGTACCAACGATGACCCCACACCTCCTGCCAGAGTCCATGGTAACAGCCCTCTGAAGACTTCATACCTGGTTCTCCTTTGCTGCCCCCACTGTGGCTGTGGGACGTGCCTGACTTGTATTCCCTTGCAAACTCCTTCCTAGTTTCCACCTGTACCAGCTCTGCAGGGGGACTGGTTCGAAAACTGCTTCTTGTCGACTTTACTCTGATCCTCCAACTCTTCCTTTTGGACCCTTAGTTTTCAGCTCCTCCCACAATTGTGTGAGGTCTTCTTCTTCAAATTAATCCTTTATTCCAAAGGATTCACAGTGGTTCTGCTTTCTGGATTAAACCCCATGCGATACAAGAATCAAATGAAACAATGAATCCAAAGCAATTAGCACAGCACCAGGCACATGCCAAGAACTTAGTAAGCTATTAATAATTATTATCAACGTTCTCACTCCTATTAAAGCAAAAGAACTCAGTGACCCCACTTTCTAATTGCCTCATTATGCAGAGGACTAAACTATGATCCTGCCCGGTTAAATGACTTGCCCAGGGTCGTACAGCTCAGTTGTGACCCAACCAACCAGAATTCAGGTCTTCTAATTCCTAGTCCTACCACTTTTCACAGATCCTGGCCTGCTGCCCAAATGATCCTACTATCCTGGTTACCACACAACACGATGCCATGGGCGGCAAATAGTATAGTATGCAATTCTAACGGGCCTAAACCACATGGAGGGTTTATTGGCTCATGTAACCAAAACGTTGAGACAGAGGGTCGACTTCAGACATAGTATCATGATGTTAGCAGGGCTAAGCTCCAATTTTTCTCTTATCTCTTTCAGCTAGGTCCCTATCATGGCTCTCTGCTTAGAACTAGGAACAGCTACAGCAGCGCCCCGCCTCACACTTCCAAACTACAGCTGTCTTGAGGAAGAGAGAGTCTTTGTAAGAGATTGAGATTCAATATGATTGGACTGGTGTAGGTCACGTGTCCACCTTCACCCAATCTCTGTGGTGGTGGGGGGGGCAGAGTTGGCAGTGATTGGCTCAGTCTAGGTCACGTGCTACAAACCTAGGCCTGTGGGGATCAGAGGTGGGTGGGGAGAATCAGCCTTGCCAGAACCACGTGGACTCGTAATACAAAGTGGCGGGGGGAGTGGGAAAGCGGGACGTGATTGCTGGAGAAGCAACACGTCCGGGGTGATAATTACATTTCTTGCCTTAGTATCTTTTCCCGGGTATCTGGGATGAAGCCAGATGAGCACCATTTCCAAAAGAAATTCACAGTCATAACTAATGTCTTTAAAAGCAGTGGCCCTGTCATTAAATCTTTATGGTCATTTAGTTTAATGTAAAATACACATCAACGTGAGGCTCCTGAGTCATGTGGATGGTGGGGGCATTAGGGCTGCATCTGACTCCTGGTCTGTCCTATTAGTTGGTTTAAGAAACACGACCTCCTCCCAGGTGACATCCCACAGAATGGAAACATGGGATGAGAAATCTGCCAGGATATAATAATGCTGTCCTTCTTGAGAGTACAGACCCAGGAGAGAAGCAAGAAATTTGTCCTGTACCTTAAAAAGGGATTCTCTGTTGTTGTTTTTTTAATGGCTAATATGATGTATAAATAATGTACAAGGAAGTGCACAAATCTTAAGTTTTCAGTTTAATGTTCTGATAATTATATATGCCTGGGTAACCACTATTCAAAACAAGGTATAGGACATGTTCATCACCCTAGAAAGTTTCCTCACTTCCCCTTGCAAGTCAATTCCAGACCTCTATTCCAAACCACTCTCTGATTTCTATCGCTGTGCATTAGGCATTTGTCTCTTCTTAGAGTCTACACTAATGGAACAAGATAGTATGTGTCTGGCCCCTTTAGTTATAACGTTTTTTGAGATCCATTCACATTGTTGTGTGTAGCAATAGTGTGTTCCTTTGTATTGCTCAGAAGTATCCCACCCTATGGCCATATGACAATTTTATTTATCCATTCTCCTACAGATAGATATTTACATGGTTTCTTTGGCTCTTATGAAAATAATGCAATAAACATTCTTGTATAATTTGTTTTGTGCAATATTTTCATTGCTCTTGAGCAGATACCTAAGAGTGGAATTGCTGGGTCATTCAGGTGGATGTATGTTGCATTTATCAGAAACTGCTAAGAAGTTCTCTACCAGTGGTTGTGCCATTTTATACTCCAAGCAACGTAGCAGAGTCTTGGAATTGGATCCCCATTTCTGTCAGAGACTGCCAACATTTTTGTTTCCCAAAGGTCCATTTCTTCCCAGGTGAGAAGGGGAATGATCCACATGGAAACCCAGCAATGGCAGCTTTGGGGTGACAGAAGTGTGAAGCCCGAGGTCTCCCGCCCCCCCCCCATCCATTCTCTTCCCCACCCTGCTCTGCTCTGTATCACAGAAGGCTCCTTGCCTCAAGGCTCCTGGTTGGGTGTGGCCACTAGAAAGTGCTGGGTTGGGTGTGGCCACTGGAAGGAAGCTGTCATGAATTTGGAAGGTGGGAGGAAGGGATAAGGCAGAATCTCTCTTATTCTCTGTGTTCTTGCAGTGGCAGTATGTCTTCCTTGGCATCAGCTTCCACCGCACAGACCTGGCCAGCTCCAGCCTCTGGCGGGGAGCTCCAGCTCCTGGACCCAGGTAACACCACCTGCTCGCTTGCTCTCTCTAGCCTGGTAGTGGTGGCATCTTCCTGCCGGTGCAAATCTCTGGGTTGCCTCTCAGTTCACTGTCCCTTGCTTCTCAACCCCTTCCTTCATCTGAGTAAACAGTTTCTTGTATTGCATTGCTTTTGTTCAAATACTTCGAGTGGATTCTGTTTTCCTCGTTGGACCTTGACAGATAACACACAGCATCAAGGATTAACAGAGACCATTTTGAGGCCAAATCACATCTGAGGCCTGCCAGGCAGATTTACTGTCAAATCCTAGAACTGCAAAAATAGGACAATCTTCTTCAGAAACACCATCTGGTACCACAATATTCCCCTAATGTCTAGTCTAAGTCCCTGCTGTGACAAAGTTTGCATCTGATAACCAGACAGAACCAAGTCACTTGGCCACAGGAGTGAATGTGAGCACTGGGGTTAGTGGATTCGTAGGCCATGTCTTAGAACTGACAGAAGCCATAGTTACGTTGCTGGGAGAAGAAAGGGAGAGGCTAGGAGGAAAAGGGATATTTCTAAGCAGCCACCATAATTGGATGGTTTGACCCAAATTCTAGGTTGTCAGGCCACATACTTGGCTTTCAAGGGAGGCAGTCATGTCTGCTGTTCCTCTGCTTCTTTCTTCAGGACTTAAAACAATGCCTGCCAAATAGATACTCAGTAAATATTTGCAGAATTGCACTTGCTCATTCATTCATTTGTTGAATACTAACTAAGTACTTGGATGATTTAGGAGTCTTGATTGCAAGTGACCAAAAGCCAAATCAAACTGATTCAAGCAAAAAGGCATCATAGTAACCCACGTGATTGAAAAGTCTAAGGATATATTAGCTTCAGGCATGGCTAGATCCAGGTGCTCAAATGATGTATCAGGAGATCCTGGCTCTCCATTTCTCAGCTCTGCTTTCCACTGTGTTGATTTCATTGCAGATAAACTCTTCCAGGGTAGGGTAGTGAGAAGGCTTCCCATAGCTCCCAACTGACATCCTTCCAGAACAATAATCATAAGGGAAGGAGAGTGCTTGTCTTTTTAAATACTTTTTGTGAAAATCTAGGGCTCATCACTCACCACTCTGATTGTCCCGGCCTGGGTGTCCTGCCTCTCCTTAGCCAAAGAAGGAACCAGGGCACTTTGATTCATACTCTCTCCAAGACTGTCTGCAATGGGGGAGGGGTGATTCCCCAAAGGAAAAACAAGGAGTTACTGTCAGAAGAAGGACAAATGGATGCTAGACAAGCAGAAATGACAAATGGTTCACTATGGGGATGTCTATGTGACAGGCACTGTGGACCAGGGGTAACAGCAGGGAATATTCCACAATCTCTCTGTCCTCAAGATGTTTACACTTACAGCAGGGAAGCCTGGTGGGGAGCAAGCACCGAGAATCAAAGACATCAATCTTATCATAGCAGAAGTACAGGTTGCAAGAAGAGCAATCTCCCTAAATGTTTTTCATAAGTTACCATTCCAAGACCCGAATGTCCTCAGATTTGGCCAGCCTGGGTGCCAGGAAACTAGCTCTGTGTCCACATTCGACACTCAGAGCTTCAGTGATGTCTTCCAGAAAGCTTTGCTGGAGCTAGAGTCTATAACAGATTGTGCAGCTTACGTGAAATGCCAAGAGTCTCTGGGAGAATGGGCTGTAAACAATTTGGTCCCATTGTGGCAGGGGGCAAGGGGGCATGGAATGGAATCAGCTGGGCTGAAATGCACTCTGGGAAATCTTCCAACTTTCAACCAGGTGGGAAGACAAAAAATTTGATTTTTTTCCGATGAGACTTTCTTATGTTCAGATAATTTGTTTCACATGAAATCGTAGGCAGTGATACAGAGAGATCCCACATACACAGCTCCCTAGTCTCTCCCAACGATAACATATTGCAAATACGAGCAGATATACGAAGACCAGGCTTCTGACATGGATGCCATCCACACACTGTATTCTGATGGCCCCAGTTTTACTCAGATTCATTTGAATGTGTATCTGTGTATTTAGTTCTATGCAGTTTTATCCCATGTGTCCGCATATCCAGCACCACAGTGGAGGTACACAACAATTCCACTCCCACAAGGATTCATCCAGTGGCTTAATTATAACCTCACCCACCTCCCTCCCAAGGAACTCATCTTCCCTCCCCCCTAACCCCTGGCAACCACTTGTTTGTTCTCCATTTCTATGATTTTGTCATTTCAAGAATGTTATGCCACTTTTTGAATTGGTGCTTTTTTCGCTCAGCGTAATTCCCCGGGGATTCATCCAGTTGTTGCCTGTTCGGTGGTTTGTTTCCTCTGATTAGTGAGTAGTGTTCAAGGGTAAGGTTGCGTCACCCAGGGAAGGACGTCAGGCTTCTTTCCAGTAAAGCTGCTACGAACATTTGTGCATAGGTTTTTGGGTGAATGTAAGTTTTCACTTCTCCCGGATAGATGTCCTGAAACCGTGGTTCGCTTTGTACTGTAGCTCCCCCATATCTGTGCCTTCGTTGGTACGACCTCCTCGCCTCCACCCACCTCCCTCCTCCCTTCGTTGGTGGAGACCTCCCTGATGCTGACCAGCTCACGTGTTCGGCAAGCACTTTTAACCATTCAGAGCAAGCTGACATGGATCACTCGTTGTACGTTTCACAACATTCTCACTGAAGGGGTATTGCCTTGTGTTTTTAAGTGTTTTCTTTTTTTCCCCTGTTGTCCCACAACACCCTTTTGCTTCCTTTCTTCAGCTCAAGTGTTATCTTCCTTCCCAGCAGGTTTGGCCTCCTCCCGTTGGTCCCTGCAAAGTGTCACTGTATCTTCTGTGCTTTATGCACTGCCACACACTGAGTTTCAGGATTCCAACTTCCTGACGCCTTTATTCGTGCCCGCAACACGTGCTTAATTAGGCGCTACTTTGTGCCAAGGGTGAGGGAGACAGTGGGAAACCCAACAGATACAAAGACACAATCCTGCCTTCATGGAGCTTCCAGTCAATGAAGTGAAAAAGATCAGAGAGAAAAAAAATAATAAATGGAGCGATTAAATAAACCAGAGAGACACATATTGTCACGAAGGCTCTGATGGAAATCTCGCGGGGCCACGTGAGTCAGTGACATGAGGGAGGTGCGCGGCGCTACGTGAGGTGGTCAGGGAAGGCCTACCTGAGGATGCGGCATCTCATCTAAGACAGCCCTAGCTTGAGAACTAATGTGCTACCATCCCCCTTCCAGTGCCTGTGACAGACATCCTTCATCCACCTGCATGCAGCTTCAGAATCCTTCTCAACACTCTTCTCCCTGTGGCTACTCCCTAAGGACCTGGATAAAACACATGAAAGGAAACTGTCTTGCTGATGTGATAGTCCTTCAGTGAACACGGGGTTGGAATGAACACCCCATCCTCTAGGAAGAATGGACAGATATTATGCAATTCATTGGATCAATAAAGAAATAGATCTCGGGATGCCTGGGTGGCTCAGTCGGTTAAGCAACTGCCTTCGGCTTGGGTCATGATCCCCGCATCCTGGGATCGAGCCCCACATCGGGCTCCTTGCTCCTGCTTCTCCCCCTGCCTGCTGTTCCCCCTGCTCTGATAAATAAATACAGAATTAAATCTTAAAAAAAAAAAAAAAAGAACGTGGCAACAAAGTTACGTGGCCTGCTGGATAAAACACAGATTCCTGCGCCTTGCCGCAAAGATTCTGTTTTGCTAGGTCTTGGGTGGGACTTATGTGGCTGTATATGCACACGTATTTCTGGTGATTCTGATGCGGGGGATCCATGGACCAGAGTCTCAGAGTCACTGGCGTGCTTATGGGCTATGAAGGCGGCCTTGTTCCCTTGACTAACAGATTGCCCCTTCCCACCCATGCATCTACTTTACCCACTTATTTCCATCTACCGGCCCAGGGCGCCAAATGTCCAGTGTCACTGGAAACTCTAGGCAGGGCAGTGAGATTGTGACCTGGCGCTCTCTCCTACCTCCCTCTCCAACCTCAGCAGTTACCATGCTGCCCTCACTCTCTTCGCTCCAGCTTCCTGGCCTCTTTTCAGTCTCTGGGAGGCAACTACTCCAAGTACCCATTGTTTCCTGTACCTGGGACACCCTTCCTTCCCTCTCTTCACCCACTGAGCTCCTACCCACCGTCCCGTTCCCTATATAATGTCACTCACTTGAGGCAGACTCTCTTTCCTTCCCTGACAGAAGTTTCACTAGGCCACAGAAATTAATTTTGTGCAATTTAAGAAGTGGTACCCCTTTCTTAAGACATTTTAGATATCATCTTCCAGAAAACTATCAAAATAAATATTCATATCTATGATGAATGGTTCTCCCCAGAGCTGGGCAGTGCACAGCCTACCCAACTATACACAAGAGTCTTGATATTTGTCGTGGTCAGATTCCCATCTCACTACTTCTCAGGGCACTAAGGACTTCCCCTTGGGAGCACCGATCACAGTTGCAATTGCAAACAGCAATGCCGATTAATACCTCTTTCCCGGGGTGTAAATAGGGAATCTGTCTGGTTTTGTTCACGTTTGAGTCCCCGGGCCCTGTGACAGTGCTTGGCTCATAATAGTCATTTAGTGACTGTCTGAGCAGCTTTCGCTCCTGCATTGCTCTCCAGTCCTCCCAAAAGAGCTCTTTCCGGGTGCCTTTTCTGCCCTACTGTGAGTCCCCATAGCACCCGGCTGTCCCTGTCATCACATGTGTCACAAAGTATTGCCACTGGCTGGTTCTTGTCTCTGTTTCAACCCACCTATTCCCTAACACTCTAGGAAACTCTGAGCTCCTTCAGAACAGGAGCTGTAACTATCTTGTTCATCCTTCGTCTTCCTGCGACTTGGCTGGTGCGCAGCCGTGGCAGAGTCTGTGCTGAGCACTCGAGCGAGTTCTGCCAGGCTGTGCTGGGACTGGGAGGTGACGGGGGACGACCCCTGCGTGGCACCTCTCCAGGAGACCCTCCCTGTAAGAAGCCTGGCTCCCAGCTCACTCCGCAGGGCAGAGGCTCCTGTTGGGTCAGCGATTACTATAATTCGAGCCACTTCTCACTCAAATCCCATTGGCTGATAAGAGAATGAATCTAGAGCATTGTCTTTCAAAGAATATCTTTATTCAGTCCCTGCCAATTTCCTATTCAGTCCCTGCCAATTTCCTACAATGCATCCCCCTAATAAGCCTTGAGACCCCGAAGCCGGAGGCAAACAGGTGCTCCAGAATGGGTCGACCTTGCCATCCCAGGCAGCCCTTGAACCCGCTTTCTCAGCCTTCACAGGCAGATCTCTGCAGAATAATAAGACCCACAAATCTTTTGTCTGGAAAATTATCTTCTCGTAACACTGGAAGCTGTTACCATGGAAATAAAACAGCCTATTAGCCCAAATCTACCAAAACACGGGAGCGGCCTGGCTGCATTTCTGAGGCCCTTCATTAATAAGGAGAAAAGCAGATTAACCTTTAGGAGAATTGACAAGAATGGCCACGACTTGCTGGGTTATGATTGCCACGTTGAGTTTATCGGAGCTAGTATCTCAGCCTGGAGCGGCCATGCTCCAGGATGGGAAAGGAATAAAGACACGACTCAGTCTGAAGATTCAAAGGCCTGCCTGGTCTGGCCTGTGGGTCTCGGCCGCCCGGGGCTGCTTCTGGCCCGCGGATTCCCGGGGAAGGCTCCTCCCTCGCCCCGGTCTTCTGGAAGGAGAGCAATTTTCCTGTCTCCTGTTGAGCAGCTGCCGAGAGAGGCAGGGCACTGCAGAGGGCTCCTGGCAGCACAGTCACGATGCCAAACAGAAGCCGCCGACAGATGGAACTGAACCCAGCCTGGCTTGGTCGGCCCCCTGCTTCCTGAGGCTCCCTGGTGCCCAATCCCAGACACGCAGGCTGCTGAGAGAGGCAGCAAGGACTCTGAGGCTTCCTGTGGCCGGGCTCCGAGCTTGCAGGTGCCAAGCAGGGGAGTTTGCAGCCCCCCGGCAGCCCCGGGCATCCCAGGGCCAGGCAGCGGCTCCCTGCAGGGCCCTCCCATCTAACCACAGGCAGATGGGAAGTGTCAGGGTCTTGACAGGTGTCAAGAGGGACTCTAGCCTCCGGAAACTGACAACAGCGCACAGAAGCTTGGGCTGTGCTTGACAACGGCTCATGGATTTCCGGGGATTTCTTTTTCATCCTGTTTTTGGTTCCAAGTTAAAGGAAGAAAGGTAGGAGAGTGTCCCTGTGAGGACTGGTCATCATTATTAAAGGGTCTACCCCCCGAGACACATCGTGATATCCTCCTCAGGTGTCTTTCCGTTCCTCCTGTGACTGACAGCAGGAAATGAATACAAGGCACCTGTTCCTGTCAGCAGTGGCCTCATGGTTCTGTATGTCCTTCCCCTCCTTTTCAGTAGGAGTGGCACAAGTTGTACTGGAATGTTCCCGCAAATAACCACCGCTAGGCAGCCTTGGCGACTGCTGTAGCAAATGAGTCTCAGATCCCAGCCATTTCAGAAAAACAGCAGAGCCTTCAGAGGCCCAGATCCTCTCCATCTGGCGGCTCCACCGTTTCCTGGGGCCTTGGGACACCTCACTGGATCCTTGTATCTGGCTGGGAGTTGCCAGGGGACAGTCTGGAAGACCTCAGTAGGGGAGAGGGGCAGTTTCCAGAGGCCAGGTCTCCTGCTCTCATCCCATTGGCCAAGACCAGGCACAGACTCCACCTCTAGAGGTAGGGGGTGGGGTAAGAAAAGCTTGCTAACAAGGTGCCAGGGCAGGAGATGGGACCTCAGGTATCAGAGATAACAAGAGGCTCTGACACAAACACTGGGTCCCAGCTGATGATAACAGACCCTCACTTCCCTATCTTCACTGTTGAGCTTCTACCTGTAAGAGTAAGGCGGTTCCTAGCTTTTGTGCCGTCCAACATTGCCCAAGGTGTATGTCATGGAATTCAAACACTGCAATGTGCTTCTCATAAACTGGTTTCCTTGAACAGTTATGTTTGGGAAACAATGAAAAAGACATATTCCTCCTGGGCATTCACACCATATGGTGGTATATGAAAGGCTCTGATAAGTCCTGCATTTCAAAAATCTTTAGTTAAAACATTCCCCTCATTTACGGAATGAGAGGACTCTTTTTTTTTTTTTTTTAGATGAAAATTGAGTAACATTTCCTGGAGTCAATGTTCTAAGCAGTATACTTTAAGAAAACAGACCTAATCCAATCTTTTTTTTTTTTTTTTTTTGGCACACAAATAAATGCACCACGGCTCAGAATGAGGACCTGACTTACTGAAGATCAAACAGCTTCTGAGGGAGCTGCAGTCCCGCACCAGATCCTCAGTGTGTTCCTTTCTCTAAACTTCTCAAAGAGGTTGTGCCTCCCAGGAACACGAGATCAGCAAGTATATACTAAGCTGTAGCCTAACCTCAACATTTTTTACCAAATTCATTTACCAAATAAATGAATAAACTGTGCCTCAGCTTTCTCACCTGTAAAATGGGATGATAAGATTGTGCATTTAAAACAGCCCAGAGCAAGGCACTGGGCAGCAACTGGACAAGCATGGCCCCTGTCCTCATGGGAATGACCCACCACAGAGGTGACGGACAGATAACTAAAATAATCATGAACTGTGCAAGTGCTAAGCCGAAATCACCCAAGAGGCTGAGAATAAGCAAGTGGTGAATGAGCTGTGGTTGGGGTATAATGTAATTAAGATTGTGACAATTCTGATTTATGGGTCTCTTCCAACACCACGAAGCAATTCTCTGAGATGCCAGCTAGCTGACCTACAATTTAACTCCGTTCTGACACTATCTACCTGATAATAGCATCAGATCCCAGAGGTTAAGGGCTCGGTCCTACAAGACTGCCCTCTTGCCCCCTTTTAGAAGCTAGTCGGAAGTCCAGATTGTCACCTCCGCTTCTGAACAACAGGCTATAGATCGGAGGTTCCAATGATTCCCTCCTGGGGTTTGGTTAATTTGCTAAAGCAGCTCACAGAACTCAGAGAAACACGTTACTACCTAGATTGCTGGTTGATTATAAAAGGAGCATCCACATCCTCTCCAGGCATGCTGGTCTCCCCAAATCTCTCTATGCTCATCAACCTGGGAGCTCTCCAAATCCCCTCCTTTCGGGTTTTTGTGGAGCCTTCATTCACAGGCATAACCGATAACTGAACTCCATCTCCAGCCCCTCTACCCTCCCCAAAGACCAGGGGGTGGGATGGAAAGCTCCAACCCTCTAATCGCAGGGTCTTATTCTCCTGGCAACCTGCCCCCATCCCTAGGTGTGGTCCCAGAGCCCCCTCATTAACGTAACACAAGACATCTTTATGGCTCTCATCACAGGAAATTCCAAGAGTTTTAGGAGCTTGGTGCCAGAAATGGGACGAAGACCAATCTATTTTTCTTATTCTAAATCACAGTACCACGGTACTATTTGGAAATTTTCAGATAAAACACTTCAAAGAAATGTCCCCTTTGCACCCTTGTACCCCTAGGGCATG